CAAGTTTTGAATTTTATAATTACCCATCAAGAATATTCCAGTCCACAACTACTACTCTCTCCCACGGTAATGCTACCCAATTGTTGACGACGTTTTTTTAGTCGTCATTTTATCGTTCCGTGTATTTCAAAATGCTCCGTGCGACTATGCGATTTTCCGCACACTTCAGCAAGATACTCGATCAATTTATGATCATCATCATACGCCGCCCTATTAGAATATTAATATACGGGTTAGATTTTGCGACGTTGCAACAGAAAGTAGAACACGCAAGTATTTATCAATAAAAATTCCTTTCGCTCACTTACACATTATGGAATGTATGTGTCATTTTGCTTCGATACTTCAAGCCGTCTAATTGTAATATTCCCAATATGCCCGTTCTATATCCTGGGAAATTTCTTTACAGTTTTTCCGAGACTAAGATTGTGTTGTAACACTAATTACTCAAACTATTCGATTGCAAACACAAACTCACTGACAATGTTCGACAATACAGGGACATCTAGTTACCTTCCAAATAATTGAAGTTCTCTTTTCAAGAGTCTGGTCTGTAGTAATAACGCAAATCTAATTATAATTCTGTTTATAGTCATAATATTGTCATCAAATGACATTCACGGCTCGTTCTCCGTGTTTTTTATTTGATGAGAGTTATGGTCTCGGAGCCTAATCATATCAAACAAAAGGGAAGGTAAAATGTATTAGATTAATTAATTTCATTGCAAGAAGCCACGCTACGATTTAAATCAAAAATAAACGTACAATTGACCAAGACTAATAATATCACCACCAATAGTTTGATAGATAGATATCCTTTATAGGGAGTACTGGAAGTGTCAGCCAACCTCTCGTCCGGTGGATCAGCAGAATTCTGATCTCGTAAGTATTGCGAGTTGGAAACCGTTGTCATCAGGCGTCGTCTGGAACTACGAAGTACAACACCATATTCATGCCATGAGCACTCATTCTTCTCAAAGCAGCTAACTGCTGTTTCTTGGCCTCTTTCCGAGTCGACTTTTGCTGGCATTGTAGTCATCGTCGGAAACTAAAAAGTGGTTTGGGAGATGCCGATGACTGAAGAGATACCGATGATTGATTGAGGTGGAAAAAGACAGGCTAACGGTTTGGAAAAACCGGTAGTCGCGAAGGGTGTGTTTCACTACTCCGCAGTCTTGAGGTTTCGTAAAAAAGGTAACTTCCGTTAGACGAGTATCTGACGGCTGCCACTAAAAGAAAGGAATTTCTTCCCACGTTCTTGGTCACGTTTTAAAAGACTCGTGCTGTCTAGGCTGAACGCAAGTAATCATGATTCAAGCGCTCGCGTCAGGATAATGTACAAGCGACATCTAGAGATATTTAAAATGAGGGCGAACCTGGATGTTTTCAAATGCCATAGATGTTACAATTTATGTATTATTGTTGCATACACGATAGCTGCAAGATTTCTTGATATATTACTGCAATCATTTCCAGCATTCTAAGCCTTTCCGTGACTTCTGTTTGATGTCACGTCTCTTGTTTCCAGTCACCGAATTATCTGAAAATGGACAAAGAATTAATATTAAATGACTTGGGTTAATCTAATCGATGAGCAAATATGGACGGAGTATCATGTACATAAAGCCAGAAGGAGCCTCTTCCTCCCGAAGACTCTCCAGTAACCGACTTGTGTAGTTGTCTTGATATCAAATCCCGTTCGATGGGCGTCTGTTCAATTGGTAGTCGAATGAGACTTCGGTATTGGTAATACGAATCGATTAATAATTATTATAGACTCCCGCACGTACTTACCTCGGTGTTTATTACTGTCTTACGTGATATCTAGTCACAGTTAAAAAAGGTGTTACAATAATAAATAATGTGTGAAGTCTATCGCTATTCTAATGCATATTGTAAATGTGGGTGGCTACCACAAGTCTACGCGCTACAGCGCTATGAAATGTAAAAAAAAAAATCACGTGGTTCATGTGCCTTCTCTCAATTGATAGAGATTTATATTACACAAACTTACAACGCGGGCGTGCTCATAGATGAACAGCATATTCTCTGAAATGCCCTGCAGTTATGAATATGACTCATAGACACTTAGTTAAACTATGTACTCGTCGCTTTTATAAATGGTCCGGTAGAAGAAGGAGATAAAGAAATAATCGAATTAGCCGATATAGTGGAGGATACTCACATTGAAGAAGAGAGACAATCATATCTCCAAATGAATCACAATAACGTTCTTTGAACTGATGCATTTAAAGAAATGTATTTTTATTTAATAAAAAAAGGTTATTAGATACATGATGAGCGATTACAACAATCCGTTTATCTCCACAATAATCCTCCGCCCCGTATTCCAGTAGTCCTTGGCCTCTTCTCTTCTTGGGAATGACTTTGTGTGTTGGCAAACGGTTGCGATGCGCCGAAACCTCTTCGTTTGTCCGAGCCCGACACGGATGTAGCTGTAAAGGGGACTTACATAATAGGCGCCTGCGCGGTTCCAAAAATATAATGTTTTTTGTGTGAATGACGTGTGGCGGGGCCGCCGCGGGGTGATTTGACTTTTCGATAGAAACCGAAAGCCCCGCACACAAAATGAATTCGGTAATGGTGAATTTATTCATGTTTAAATAAATAAACGTATGTTGGTTTTTCATTAAAAATGATAAAAATGATAAAAATGATAAAAATGATAAAAATTATAAAAATTATAAAAATTATAAAAATTATAAAAATTATAAAAATTTGTTTTATAACAAAGCCATTTTGTTGAAAGACTTTCTTTTTCTTTTCGAAATCGAGAAAGTTTTTTGTGTCTGAACGGGCGCGTGTTATGCATCGGCGGGTGTTTATGGCTCCAATACTCTACTACCGTTCTGGCATAGTAATAGGCTTTCCCTCATTGACGGAATAATATTTTAACAATATAATGATAAATTCATAATAACAATAGATTCATAATGTATTGAACGGGTATTACCCTTCCATGTATTAAACATAAACTTTCATAAGCACAAATTTTCTAAATTGAACATGTCTCGAGCTTTCCTCACCAAACGAGTATTCGGTTACTTGCTTATTAGATACGAAGAACTTACACACAAATTGTTAATTCATAAAAATTTAACTACTCCGAACTGCAAAGCAATATGGGTTGTTCAGTGGGTCTTTACCGAGTAGTTTTTTTTTCTTGGTCAAGCCCTTATTAACTGCAAAAAGAACTATTTTGGCTCGCCCTTAGTCATTACCAATTGGTATAAAAAACACAACATATAAAAACAAAAACGCAAATTGTACACAAACCTATGGTGCTCGTTGTCTTATTTAATCACAAGGTGTTTCTTATATCAAAGTATTAAAAGAACCGAGACAATAATACAATAATAAATAACAGCAATAATACAACAAACAGTTTCAATAATAAGATAATTTATTAGAGTAATGAAGACACTCCAGAGAAGTAGTTTTTATCTTTTTAGCAGTAATCAATTTACTTGTTCCGCCTGGAGGAAGAGTTGTTGTATAATAAATTTTATGTTCCCATTCAAACTCGTCACTTCTTCCTCTCTCAGGCGAATCATCACTATTTATTATTATGATAGTGGTGTCGAAATCTAATACAAATGTCAAATTACACAGGAGCAAATTTTCGACCAATCGAATAATTTTAAATATAAAATTGTATCATATATTAACCACGCAAGACTGGCTATATGACATACTGATTTCCCAATATGTTATTCTTCCTTCCGAAAGGCAAGAAAGTCTCATTCAAATTTCCAATAATTTTTTCTTTATTGTTATTATTATTATTATCATTATTATTAAAATTTGACTTGTATGAGTTGGTCATTTTGGACTTCTAGTGCAGTCTGACAAGGAACAAACCCGTCTTTGTTCTTTTTTCGCGTAATAATGAGAGAATCGTTGTGATTTTAATTTGTACGGCAATAAATCCAACCACAGCAGCATTTAATATGAGAAACGTTGGAAGAAAATCTTTCTTTTATTACTTCTAGTTCACAAAAAAATATGTGTTTGAACAAAACCAAAACAATAGCAGATTAAAATTTGAAGGATTATTATGGACAATTAATAAATCTTGGTGCGATAACTTGTACTGGTTGCGTTTATTGACAATCAATAATGATCTGGTTAGAATCGTAAAGTAAAAGCTGATAAAGTGTATCTATTGCCAATGATATACTATATATTTGAAATACGTCCATTTGGATATTAATATGTAATTCTGCATAGTGTACTACTAATATCCAGTGGCATCGGCTTGGTGAAGAAAATTGCTCGAGGTAATAGTAATGAATTATTTAACACAACTACTGGAAGCTAAATATGGCATGAGTTATTACTTAATTACTAAAACGTCGTTGCAAAGCAATTTTTTACAGTGTATCACAAAAAAAAAGGAAAAAGAGAAATATTGATGTGCTACAATTAGAGTACTTGAAAAGCTTAATAATAATAACTTTTGAACAGAAAGTTTTGTCATAAATTTACCAATTTTGCACATACGACTTTTTATAATCAACTTAATTTTTTTATTCTTTTCACTAAATCAATTAACATTATCGAAAATAAAAAAACGACATTTGCAAAGTATGCTGCCCAGTAGTATAAATCGCCGTCAAAACCAAATTATTTGGCTGCCTGAAATCATATCGCATAAAATGCGCATATAACTCATTTGCGGAAAACTCTATCTATCTCCACCTTTTTTCAGCAAAGGTCTAAACCGTTCAATAATCTCTGTGCATGTCGGGCACAAGGTGAGAAAAATGGGATTGAATAAAAACAGAAGAACCATGATCAAAAAGGGAGCGGTGATTCGCATTTGCAGTTTATTGGCTCATACAAATTTGACCAATGGAATTGCTCCCTCAAAAAATCATAATATTGTTGTCATGGTAATAGTGAAAGCTTGATAACGATGATAAATTCAGGATCACGTTCTGTTCCGCTTGCACGACCGAAATGTGTGACAGGTTATGCCGAAGATGGTGGCGTGACCATCAATTGATCTGACTGACTATGCCTCAACAACGACCAGTGACAGTTCATGTTTGCTTAAATAAGCATAAATACGTG